ACTATCTCACACCCGACATCGAAAAGAGAGCACACATCTATCGTCTCACCCCCTGGACCCGCGGATTCCGGTTACGCGTCTCAAGACGAAGGCGAAGATGATGAGAACCAGGTCACACCCGAAGAGGTGACAGCAGCTCTCCGTGCAGACCCATTCGAGCGCACTTTCGCCACCCAATGGCTGAACTCGCTCCTCGCGCGCTCGGAAGAGATCGAAGTCGATGACGATGTACGGGAAAAACTTGTCGATGATGCTGGATTCATTCTATCAAGCTTATTCGAGAATGCCGATGAAGAGGAAGAGGCGCTTACACGAGACTTCTGCTTCCCCACATCATCTGGAGATTCAGTTAAGGTCACGCTCAATGATGCGCCACTGTCGAGTACAGATCATACAGCTGTCGGACTTCAGTCTTGGGGTGCCAGCATCGTACTCAGTAGCATGATGTGCGCCGAGCCAGAGCGCTTTGGACTGACTGAAGACAGTCTTGCAGGGAAGCGGACAATTATCGAGCTCGGTGCAGGCACTGGACTCGTCAGCTTAGCAGTCGCGAAATTACTACCCGTGGTCGGTGCTGGACCTGTCAGCATCACGGCGACCGACTATCATCCTGCGGTTCTGGAGAACTGCAACGCAAACATCGAGACAAATTTTCCTTCGAGCTCATACGACCGACCACCTGTAGAGACCGCAATACTGGACTGGGCCCAACCTCCTACACACATGAAATCAGCATCCGATCTTCTCATCGCCTCGGACGTGGTCTACGCTCCTGAACATGCCGCCTGGCTACGCGATTGTGCGGCGCATCTCCTGGCTCGGAACGGTGTATTCTGGCTTATGGTCACAGTGCGCAAGACGGGCAAATTTGAGGGGATTCCCGATACTGTTGAAGCCGCTTTCGAACCAGAGCTCTGTCCGAAGAGCGACGGCGGGATGACATTCACAATTCTGGAAAGAGAGTTTGTAGAAAAAAGACGGGGTATTGGACGAGGTGACGAGAGCGGATATAATCTTTATAGAATTGGATGGGCATAGACCAGAGCAATTTATAGACTAGACAGCGCAAGCGACCTAGCGGGCTTCATCAGTGCCCACGATGTTACGAATTCAACACCCAGATCTAAGACCTTCACAACGAACTGAGGTGCTCTTGCTTACGCACCAAACACTTCCTCATTTCTGACACTCAGTAATCCCCAAATTTGTATCTTGCTCGCGCAAGTTTGTCCGCTTCTGGGTACTTTTCGACGTTGACAGCCACAGTCGCAACACCGAGGCCGATATCAACCGCCCGCACGATGCCCAATAGCCTTATTGCAAACACCCACATCCTGTCTTTGACCTCTAATCCCTTGACTACGAACGGCTCAAGTGGCAGCGCCAGCTCCTCGATTGGTATGAGCACAGCAAGCTTCTCGAGCGTGTCCTCCATATCGTCAAATCTCGCCTGTATTCCAGGAATAATCTTTAACCCAACATCCCAAGCATCCCTCATATGCTTTGCGTATTCGCTATGGATCTTTCTCGCCATGAGGAATTTCGCGTTGTTCATGGGATCGGTCGGGTTGTCGAGCCATTCTGCACCGGCTATTTGTGCTTCCGTTTCTACCTGCTTCAGTTTGATCTCTGCCAAGTCGATGAGCTTTCGCAGAAAGTTTTGTGTCATGTTCAGCAGTCTTCCAGTATCTTCCATGGGGCCATTGATCAGGTTTACAAGAGCAGGATCCGGAGTATTTTCGGCGAAGTCTTTCCATGCCCTGCGCTGCGATTGAAAGAGCGAGTTGATGTGAGTGAACAGGTATGTAAGCGGGGTAAGAGAGAATTTCAGGACGAGCTTTTTAGTCTGGGAAGACATGCTTTGGTTGAAGGATCGGTGCCGGTTCTTGGAGGGCGGTGAAAAAGCAAGTGATGCGCTCGTTTGCTTCTTGTTTGCATGATCGTAAAGAAAAGGGTGAACAAAGCCGAATGTGTCGCAAAGCCGGAACTTCATATACTATTAATCATTTGAAGAGATAGATCGCATGTACTAGCTGCCACCATCCCTCTTCCTCTTCCTCGTCCTTCCCCCGCCGCCTGCTACGGATTCTACCCGATGTCGATCTTCGGTAATGCCCGCGAGAGGAAAGACATATTTTCCCATTCGCTGATCTTGCGCGTACCAAACTCCATTCACCCATCCAGCGCTATACAGCAAACAATCCCGCTTGCCACGAGCCTCTTGGATCCTCCTACCGACTTCCAAGCTTGCCAGTCGTTCAGAACCATGTGATTGATCCCAGCTCGTGAATATCTTTGCAAGGCAAGGTGCTCCGTCAGAGTTTAAGTGGGTTGCTTGCTCTGTCCTCCAACCATCTGGCTCCGGCCTGATGAAGATGGCAGTTGGCTCTGTATGCGGACGTGCTGAAGCCAGCCGCCCCAAACGAAGCTCTTGATCGTCGCGAAGAGCTTGATAGAGTGCGAACATCATGTCTAGTACGTACGGTGCAGACGGTGGTAAATCTGATCGCGACAGATGTTCATCAAAAAACAGTTGTCTGCGCATGTAGCTGGCGAGCTTGCTACCTGGCCATAGTGCTTCCAACTTCTGAATCAGTGCATCCAATGCCGTATGTACATCCTCGTCGAGCTTCGTACCCCGAAGCACTGGACCTCGGCCTAGATCAGATAGAGCTTCTCGATCCGAATCGGTGAGACGGAGGCTGAGCTGGTCTGCTCGTATTCTTGATCGCTCACGAGGGAATAGTTCGAAAAGCCAGCCTTCCGTCTGAAGACCACGAGACGTGATAGTTGGGGATTTGAGACGACAGTGGTCGACGAAAGTTTGCTGGAATCGCAGATTAGGGACACTAAACTCGTGTTGACATGCCGCGAGATACGATTGTAACGTGTGCTGCATCAGGTTACTTTCGCAGGGCAGACGCGCACGGTCAGATGGTTCCCATGTCGTACTCTTCAATATCTCCCCATTCACCAGTATAAGTGCGAGCAGAGCTACAGAGAGGCTGTATTTGTCTGGCTTATGTATCGGAGATCCTTTCCCGATATCTATGCGCTTAGTAAATCTTAGAGCGTTTGCAAGGATAGCGATTCTGTCCTCCTCGTTCTCCAACGAACGGCTGCAAATATCGTCGAGCACACAGTTCGTAGTCGTTCGGTACGCTGCAATCTCGTAGTTGCTTCCGCGCTGATAGTTCTTGTCATCGCCAGTGTTACCGCGAATACCATTCCTCCCGGAACGCAACAGATGGTCGTCCTGTAGCAATGTGTAGCTCCTGTTGCAGATGTTGTATTGTTTGAGCTTTTTCAGTATGTCGGTATTAGGCCGCCGTTCCTCAGGGCGAGCCAAGCAAAACATGGTCGCATTTTGTCGAAGATCCTTAAGCTTGATCTTCAAGTCCCCAAGGATATCACCAAAGTCATAGCCCTGATCTTTTCGAACACTTGCAGAACACGGTATGAGTAAGATCATCCTGTTCGAGGCCAAATGATCTTCTTGGAAGATCCAGCCACGATCCCAGCGAGGGTCGCTGAGAATGCGCCGAATCAGCTTTTGTACTGCTAGAACATTGACTTCGGGTCTCAACTTTGGATTTTCTCTGTCCTTGGGGTCGACGAAAATGCGGCCCTGTAGGAGTTCAGATAGAAGATCGACTTGGCGTTGATGCGTAAGCTCCACCGTGAGTAAGCCAACCGAGACTGTACTGTCGCCGTAGACTAGATCCATGATCTGAACTCCCAATTCCTTGTCTTTTGGCCACCTTCTTTCGTCTCCCAATCTCTGATATATGCACTCCTTGTCGATCCATACTTTGGACACATTAACGCTCTGTGCGAATTGTATTACCCGATCCATGTAGCGGTCCGGAAAGTCACTTTTGTGCCGCTTCGCACGCGGCCTCCTGATTCGATAATCGAATACAGGGGGGTCGGACTCATCGAAGAGAGCCTCATGTTTGGGCACAGCCCACCTCCATGAGACAGCAATGTATGCGTCTTCGTCGTCGTCTTCACGCTTCGTGATGGGGACTTCGCATGACGGTATCTTTCGCTCGTAGAAACGAGCCTTAGTTAGTGCGTAGCGGCGGTCTCGCTTCTGCTTCTGCTTCTCTGCCTGTAGATCCGGTACTCCGGAAATATCCAGAAAGCGCAAATCTGCTGCCCATTCCTCAGCTTTGCTTCGATTAGTTGTGAAATGTTGGACCTCTAGTAATTGCTTGCGAAACGCGGATGGGTCGCCGTTGAAGATCTCGCCGAACGTCTGATGAAGATCATTCTTCATGGTGTAAGTAAATGCTCAAGTCTTGTGGTTGATGTTGAGCAGACGGGATGATGAGATGAGAGGAGAGCGAGAACGCGTCTCAGATCCCCGCATGAGACGCGTCCACTGTTCCACGTCATCACGTGTTCAGCTTGGCGGCGACGTAATAACGCGCAACCATCCCGACCTCTTCATGCAACAGCATTAGTCGAGTCAAACGCAGAAGTGGATGCGCCGCAAGCTGCTCGGTCTCAATGTCCGCCGCAAGTACCTCGCCGGCGTCCAGAACTATCAGGTCGTAGCAACGGCACTTCGTGGACACACACATTGACTGCAATGGTGCGACGAAATGCAACAGAGTAAGCCGCTGCGAGCAAGTTCAATTTACTTCCTAGCAACTTGAAGGTGTTGTCCGCTGCTAGAGATCGTTAAACTTTGAAGTAATTTGAGGAAAGAGATGCGAGCCTGCCGAAGAACTAGTCCACGTGCTCCGTCCAAAAGCGGTTATGCCTCGGCATGATCGTTTCAAGGGTCTCGGCCCACTCACTCATTCACATGCTTCCCCAGATTCGCAGCTGCACACATCATCACTGCTGTCACAAGCCTCCGAAGCTCTTATATACCCCAGACTGTTCCGCATTCGCGACTTCGACTCCACAAACCTCTTCCGCCTAGTTACTATCGCCATCAGTCTCTACCTTTCCCGAACGCGCATCACCACTAGCAACACATCGCCAATATGTCTCTCAAGAACGGTATGCACATGCCGACCCTACGAAACCTCCTATGGAATCTCAGAATAGTGTAACTAACACACGTCTAGACGAATTCCCCGCCTCCGCCGCCTTCGACGAGATCGCGCAAGCCCTTTCCGCTTCCGACGCCGACCGCAAAGAGGCCATCAAGAACGGCAAGGCCATCTTCGCTTTCACACTCAAGAACAAGGCCGGCACACAAGAAACATGGTACCTTGATCTCAAGGAGACCGGCACGGTCGGCAAGGGTCCCGCCCCGGCTGGCAAGAAGGCTACCGCCACACTGGTGTTGAGCGACGAGGACTTCGGCAAGCTTGCGGCCGGCAACGCGAATGCTCAGAAGCTGTTTATGAGCGGGAAGTTGAAGGTCAAGGGAAACGTTATGAGCGCGACGAAGCTAGAGCCTATCTTCAAGAAGGTGCAGAACAAGGCTAAGCTATAGATGCGAGGCTGGAGGCGAATATGTATACCAGTTCTTTCAATAAACACGCTTCTAATCAATGGGTGTTCAACAACTCTGCGGATGCCAATGACCACAATGTATGCGCGTGACATATACGGATATTGAGCTTTGGGCATGAACATGGCCTGTGAACAAACGTGCGGACACCTTGTAGGTACGGCAAAATATGAGCACAGCTCTGAAGTTGGCTCATTTCAAAGTGGACATCAAAATCACGCTGGACCGATGCGATGAGCGCAATAAGGTAAGGACCAGAAGGAAATGTCATTGAATGATCGTAAGGTCATACTATTCTACTCATACCATCGTAACTATGCGCAAACGTGATATCTTCGGAGTAGTCGTAAATGCCGTGAAGACGTCGAAGTCGTAATGAGCGTGAGGAAGACAAGACAAAGGAAAGACGAAAAGAGAGGACATGAGAGGCCGTTATCCGAAACCCAACAACAAGAACGATAAAGACAGAAAGCAGACGCCATAAACCATGCCCGAGGGGTATCAACCGTGACGTACCACAGCAAAACTCCCTAGTACCGACAAGAACCCAGGAAAACACGCACAGCCACTTTACCTAACCATGACAGGCGAGCTGCCCTTCCAGCTCGAAAGATGCAGGAACCTCTTTCCTCCACCCCAGAAGCTATCTTTCTTACTCGACTGTCGCGGTCTACCCAACCACCTCGACAGCGCATGTTCTCTCCTCTCCTTTCCACTAACCTCTTCAATGGCCTGTTCGACCTCCTCAAGCAACGGGCCCATGACCCGCGGCTCGGCATCAATAGGCGAGAGCATAATGGGAACATCCATGACCTCTTCTTGGTATTGCTTCCATCGATCGCTTCCAGAGATGGTAGTCAGAGGTTCAAGCGCGAGATCCCAGTCGCCCTCGCGCAGCTTAACGTCTTCAAAGTTGAACTCGCGGAGGGAACGCTTGTGCTTTGTGATGAAGTCGCTAATTTGCGCGGAGTCCATGAGCGCGTTTTCCAGTTCCATGACGCGGAGGCGAGGGAACTTCAAGGGGCGGGGACCATTGGTTTGGCCGCGAAGAGAGGGGTGGGTGGACTCCTCTCGGCTGGGAAGCATGCAAGGTTCACGATCGAGTGAGAGGGGAGAAGGTCCTCGCTCGCCTTTCCAGCGGAAGAAGACACGCGTTAGGCCGCGCGAGAGTGTGGCGAGGTAGGCGTGTAGGATGCGGAGGTGTTCTAGAGATTGGGCGCGGGTGCGCGATGAGCTTGAGTTGAAGGGTATGCTTTCCATGCAGATTGAGAGGCGACGGATTTGACCCCAGCGCTTGGCTGAGGATGGTGTGCTGCCGAAGCCGTGCATGGGGTGGAGGTATAAGAGGCCACCAGGGTGGATGGGGTGGAGGGAAAGAGCAGAGAGGCTGTACAATGGAGCGCGCTCAATGGCAATGCGAAGAGAGATGAGCGCATAGTCGACTACACCTCGTCGGTGTCGAAGTGAGCCAGTAGATCCCGGACATGAGACCTTGAGATGTGTGAGGTTGATCAGTTCAGAGAAGGCGGCGCAAAATGCAGGGACATTGGTCGCGGCATGGAACAGTGGTGGGTACTGTTTGATGAGCAAGTCCTGCATCTCCCAGTTGCCATACTTGGGTGCCTTGTCTTTGGCTGGTCCATGTTGCGGCGTCTGGACTTGGGGCTCGTAGATGAACTGCTTCTCTGTGCCAGTGCACGGGTCGATGATGGGTGGCAAGCAGGTCTCTGGGCCATGTGGCATGTGGAAGGTAAAGGTCTTGACGTGACGGCCTATCCTCGATAGCGCTTCGATGCGCGCTGGCTTGGAGAAGGTAGATGTCTTGAAGGTCACAGTCATCTTCTCAAAGAGCCGTGGCGCAGCCTTTGATGAGAAGTCATGGCATACAAGGCGGAAATTGGATAGGTCTTCAGTTTCCATGTGATCCAGTACGTTGTCGCGGCAGGCGTCGTTTAACCAGAAGCGCAAGAAGACTGAGCTTGTGGAGAGGACCAGGTTGCAGATGGAGCCATTGGAACGAATCGCTTCATAACGTTAGGATGAATGCGCGCGCATTGCGACGGGGTACTTACATCGTCCATCTACTGTCGTCGCAGGTGTCAATGGGATCTCTCCAAACAGTAACTTGGAGCTTGCGCGCGATACTGTTGTCGCAGCGCTGGCATAGCTGTTTTGGCTCTCACCCGAATGTGAGCGCTTCAGTGGCGGTGGCGACGATCGCTGTGAGTACATGTTGTAATAGTCGAGTGGGTCGCATGCAATAGTGTTGGTTCGTAAAAAGGTCGTTTATTCTTCAAGGTATCAATCTCGTGGTAAATCTCAAGTAAATCGTAAAAGTCGTTTCAAACATCCAGCATTCGAAAGAGTAAGAGCGAAACCTCAGGAAACAGAGAATCCGACGGGACCAGCCACGACCTCGTCCCCAGCTGTATTTACCACAGCGCGGTGCATGGTTGCAAAGCGGGGCCAGACGCTACTACACGTGAGCTGCAGGTGTGAGTCAAAGGTCGTTCCCCTAGATGCCAACGAGCCCGCCACCGGATTCCCAACTCTTAACGCAAAGCAGCCGAAGAATTGATCAGAAAACGCGACCATCTCGCGGTGGGTAGACGTGTATATATGGTGTTAGACGCGACGATTCGACCAAGTGGTCGAGTGGGGCTGCAGCCTGGAGCCGGCTTGAAACGTTTCACTCGTTCTGACCAACCGGCTCGAAGCATGCACGGGATAGTGTATGCGGCTCTTGCATTAGTCTTGCATCGTGTCTGCATCCGGGTCTTGGAAGCTGTGGCTAAACAGTCACGACTGGCGGTCAGCTATCCCGTCGCGTGCAGGGCTGTTACTCATCCCGTAAGTCAGGCACGACGCGTCTGTTAGTGCGCACAGTGGGCTCCGGACGTTGCTCTGGAGAGTCGCGATTCGAGGACCACAACAACAACAAATGCCGTGCTTGCATTGGTGCCGGCTATGCGCGTCTGTTTTGAAGGTGAAGGCTGTTTTGGACCAAGCTATCGATAGCTAGCCGGAAGGCGCGTCTGTGGCTAAGGCAGTCACTCAGTGTCAACACCACCAGAGTATCGTGACCGCATTGTGTCGCGTCGAATGCACGATACAGCCTTGGGAGTGGGCGGCAGTATCTTTGTTTGTGGTTTTGGTACATCCGATACCTACAGCGCGTTTAGCAATGTTGCTCCCACAGACGCGTCTGCGCAAAGCTCGCAACCACAACAAAGCTAGCCGTCTACCAGTGGCACACCATGACCGCGTTAATGCCTCACACGCCTCACTTGATGGCTGGTGACAGGCATGGCTTGCATAGTGCCATTCTGCCGCTCTCCACCGATCTGCCGTGTAGCTTCACCGGTCACACGGTATGCCCCGCACCTGAACACATCTATCCAAGCATGTCGTCTGGACGTACAAACGTTTTGAATGATTACATTGAGCTACATAGTGATTCGGTATTAAAGCCAACTGTAACGATGAAAAGCTTGCGACATACACCATACTACAATATATTGTTTCAGATTGCTCCGCCGATAACTACAGAAAAGCTATCAGCAAGGGTGATTACTGGGTAGAAAGAGATCAACCTCCGCCATAGAACTGCTGCATGCCCCCCACTTCGGTTGCAGCACGCATGCTTCTTACGCCGTTCGCTGCGGCCCAATGGTTCTTCTTGGTCGCATGTCGCCCGCCTAGACTCGCTCATCCCCTACCATATCGCCACTTCTCGACGCGTCCAGGGTTCTGATCCGCGGCGTAGCCCTGTTCCTTGACGTTTACAGAGGAGTTCGTTTCCTCTCAGGTGGTAACCATTATATGGTGTCCATGGAAGGCCTTGGCTGTGATTCGTGTTGATGTGCCGACAAACACGTAGTGTAATCCTCAGGGTGCACAGCAGCTAGACTTCAGGCTGTAGAAACGAACACAGGCGTAGTATGCGTCTTCATCGTCTCTTTTCGTCGGAAAACCTAGGCTCGCCTTCGGGTGCAGGAGGGGGCTGGTAACTACCTCTGTACCCATTGATCGGGGGAAGATCCTGTCCAATCGCGTCCTCGTAGCTCGGCGGCGCATCGTCATAAGCGGGAGCATGCTGGGGCTGTACTGGCTGCCCAAAAGACGCGTTAGATGCGTTGAAACCTCCTTGTGTTGGCGTTGTTGGTGTGTGAGCAGCTGCTTGGGGCGGTGGGGCAAGTGTGGTGGGTTTGTCTGCAGGGAAACCACCTTCCAGGAGTGCTTTGGGTGGCGCGATGCCCGAGTAGACCTTGACTGGTAGTCTGAGGGGTAAGACAATGAGCTGATCTTCACCGTGCTTGTAGCTCCCATAGCCAACGCCAACACGTATCTCCAACTCGTAGAAACGCGCGAGGTTGCAGGACGTGAAGGTGGGTGGCACAGTGTTGGGTACCGGTTTCCCAGACCAGTACTCGGCATTGATGGGCACTTCCGTATCGAGAGGGTCAGAGGGACTTCCAATGGGAATGGCCATGTTACTGAAAGAGCACAGAATCCAGCTGTTCGACTCTGTCCGTGACACCTCATGCGCGCGTACCTTGGTATACCCTATCAGCTCAATCTGGAGCATCTGCAGATATATGTTCTTTGTGCGCGCGCTGACGTTCTTCACAAGTAGTCTCAGCGGTAAGTCTTGGTTGCTAGTGAGAATAGCAGGATTAGGCAATCGGGCATCAATGGCTATCCGAGGTGGCACACTGCCTGTCGTCGGTGATGGCGGAGCACTTCCTGTCGAGTTCTTTCTATCAAAGAAGCTCATTCGTTTGCCTGCCGCTACGCTGGGAGCATTTTCGAGGAACTCATGTTGTCGCCTCGCATACGCCTCGCCGTCTGTCTTGTCGGGTCTCGGAGGTTCAATCGGAAGGAAATTGAAGTTCGCAATTGCCCTGGGATTCTCCTTGAAGAACTGCGGTCTGTTTACTGTGACCTTGACAAAGTATCGTATCTCTGCCTCCCCCGGAAAT